CACTGACACCCAGAGAGCTACAGTAGTCTTGTGGTTTCTTTATAGTTAGTCACCTTTTGAATTTACTATAGAGAGTGAATGTTGGGACAGGGTATCATTTGTGGAGATACCTGTGGTATTGACCTGCATACGTTCTTTTTTTGTTTGGCTAAAAAAGTTGCTTAAATCATTTAGATCTCACTTTACTGACTGTGGCAATTCAGAATGGATAACCTTAGCCGACTTTAGCTCACACATAGAGGACTTAGAGATCCTGTTGAGGAGAGCGACAGCCTGATCTCAGCTCGCAGTTTGGGAGCTAATGCTACATTGCATCTGTCAGCATATAACACAAACACTGCTGATAAATCAATTTTTGTTCTCTCTGTGCTCAAACTGAACACTAAAATGCACATTTGGATGTAGTTTTTTTTTTTTATTATTTACTTACAGATGTATTTAGTGTATATCTCTATGATGGATAATGAACATGATCCCACCAAAATGGTGCATTTACCCAAAATTCAACATGGCGTAATGACAATTTCACATTCTCTACAGTTCTAGGTTTCTGACTTGTAAGTATTGTTAGCATCTATATCCAAATTTCAACTGTGAATCTTGCATTTTTCGGAAAAGTCAAATATATATTTAACTAAATAGAAAACAACCAAGATGTATCTGAAAAGCAAACAGTTTCATGTCAGACTCATATCCTTCACTGGCATTAAATTAACTCTGATTCATAGTCTTTTATTATTATCATATCATTACCATTTTTTATAGTAACATTAGTGATACAGCACCATAACTGTCAATCCTTTATGATTTACTCTCCATCCAAGAACTGAAAAGCCATCTTGTGTGAACACAATCTTACCTATGATCAGACTCAATTTTGTTTCACTTCATTCATTCAGGCTTTTGTGCTCATGTGGGGAAGTTTTGTTGGCTTTTGTTCTTTTTTGTCTCTTTTTTTTGCTTGGTTTTTCCAAAAAACTACCATACAAAATCAGTAGAGAGTGACCGCTGATGCTGCTTTTACACAAAGAGGCTGTGGATGCTAGGAGCAGTTATTTCAAAATTTTTCACATTAATTAAAACATTGTTGGTTTACAAGTTGTTTATTTCTATACATTTACTTTCAAGAACTTGGTCAGATACAAAAATGCTTGTTCATGAATATAGCTATGCAGCTTTCTAGCTATGTGGGGAATATGAGGTCCCAAATCTCACCTACTCAGCTCTGAACTAAATCAATCAACAAATGAATCACTATAATCACTGCCTTCCCTCCATAAGCAGCTGCAAAGTCCTGCTTGTACTGCTAAAATGTAATTTGCTTTATCTCATGTCACACATAACATTTTTGACATTTTCACGTTTAACATGAATTCTTTAAAACACTGAATGATAAACAAGCTTTTACATAAAACAACTGTACTGTTATCAGCAACATTTACCAAAACAAAGCAACAAGAAAAACTAACTAGCAAATGCAACATTAAATTACAGAGTAAATAGTCACCAGATAGTCTTTATCTTTCATCCTCCTTTTTCTGCGTAGTTTTTAAACAATACCATTCCTTTCCAGAAAATTCTGGCAAGAGGCTTAACTAACCAGCTAGCAGGTGAACTTTCACTTGACTGTCTCGTACTTTTCTACAATCTGAAGATTGAGGAGTTGACTAACAACTCAAGACAGTACAAACAGCTTTTAGGTTTTTTATGAATCAGTCACATCGATTTTCTTTGTTTTTCTTTGCCATTGGAGCTCATCTGACAACATTTTGTCTGAATGTGGTAAAACCTCATGAATCCAAAGTGCTGAGCAGAGACAGGAAAATGATCACACTGAATGAAAGAAAAACCAAAATGAAGGAAAGCAGCAGGAGAGAAAGGTCAGCGGGAAAGAGAAATGGGTCAAACCAAAGCATCAAAGAGAAAGTAGTGAGAAGAATGTAAGAAGAAACGAAAAGGACCCTAACTCACTTCACTTCACTTCAACTTCCTGCCTTAAAAATCAGACCAGAAACCTCCACATCCTGCAAAAAACAAACAAAGAAGACAAGCCCATGTCATCAATTTCCATGGTGATGATGGCTGTTGTCTCCCTTCTATTTTCATCCACACAATGAACCAAAGTAAGTAGCAGCAGAGGGATTTGGAGACACTCTTGCTCTGGATCTTTGCCATGGGGATTATTATTATCTACTTCTGTGGGTCAGACCTGGCTCCTCCTCACCACCATTAATTGGGATTTGTCCAAATCCTCAGAGTCAGTGGCTAATTAGGCACAGACAGGCTGAAGGCCGTTTTGATTCTCCTTTTGCCACAGTGAAGTCACGAGTTTAAAGATGAGTGTGGCTGAAGTGGCGGGGAAATATCAGCTCCCTGAGGTTTACACACGTTATTGAGAGGAGCTGTAAAAATGGTGGATAACATTAAGACTCATTAATGAACATCTAGAGACATAAACTGCCTATATTAATCCTGCACTCATTCTCATTAATAGCCTATAAAACACCAGTGGTACCTAAATGAAAGTAACATTAACTTTAATGTAATACTGTTATGATAATGTAGGCTTATCTTTTTTTTTTAAATAGATACTGACCTATGCTGTGTATGTTTGTGGTTTGTTCCAGCACTTTTGTTGCTGCTTCTTATCTAATTTTCAAGTGAGACTAGATGAATTTAATTCACTTTTATCCTTCTAAGAACCAATTGTTTTAGCAACATTGCTGCCAGAGACAAAATGTTACAGAATTTCTAAGTGTTGCTTATTGCTACAACAGGTCAAACAGCTAAAAAGATCTTCCCACTAAGTCATCACAGTGTCACAAGGAGCCAGCATGTACTATACAATACCAGGGCCCTGCAACTGAAGCAGCTAAGTGGGATTCAGCCCATTATTCATGTTATTACTGGCCCCTTGCTTTTCCATCATAGCTCAAAATGTTTTGCCTATTTACTGCAATTCTGATGAGAGATTTAAAGACTGAGGGAAAATGTATCAGTTACTAATTAGGGCATCCAGAATGTGATTTAGCAGATATGTCCAGGTCGCTGAATAAGACCTTACTTCAACAGTGACATGTTTATTTGTCCTTTATTAACAGAACTGTTAAAGGGTTTGTCTGTACTGTTGTATGGAGGCTCAGTAACATAGTATATGATAATGCACTGACCACCACTGTCACATCAACCACTTTCACTACGGAAAAATCATATGGCAAATCTGCCAGCTGTCGTTCCATCGACATAATACACCAAAAATAATCTGATGTGTAAACTGCGAAAACAAAAACTCCCCGTTTAGTTTTTCTCTCAGTTTCAGAGAGGGAACAAGTATTCTCATCATACAGTATATTGTTAGTCAAATTTTCATTAACAGAATTAAGACTTCTGCTCTGCTCTGCTCCTTCTCTTTCTGTCTTCATTGTGTTATGCTCTCTCTTTTTTAAACCTCTTCTTTTTTCTCAAAATCTTTGTATTGCTTTGTATTCATTGTATTGCATGTGTATTATTTCTACTTTTTAATTCTTTTTGTTGTCCTTGTAGTCTCATTCTTCCGTAGTCTCTTCCCTTTTCATTCTCTTACTTGCTCACTTTGCTTGCCTCCTGTCTCTATTCCTGTCTTCTTGCCTCAGTCTTAGTCTCTCTCTCTCTCTCTAGTGCTCAGTGTTTCTAATTAATTCCCAGTTTACAGTCATCTCTGAAAACATACACACACTCAGCCAGACTGCTAATTGAATTTTTAAGCCTCTGCTGTTCATTAGCATTTGGCCTTGTAATGTGCTGTGCGCCATCTCTTTCACTCTCTGTTGTGTGTGTGTGTGTGGTCTGGTATTACTCATGTTCTGGGGACATAAATCTGTTTACACAGTCACACTGTGGGGACTCAATGTCTTTACAGGTACAGAAAGCAAGTCCCCAAAATGTTCATTTTAGAGTGATGACTTAATTTAAGGTTAAGGTGAAGCTAGGGTAAAGTTTAGGGTTAGACAAATAGTGGTTATGGTTAAGGTTAGGGAAAGTCTCCAGGAGAAAAAGTGCAAGTCAAAATAAGGTCCCCTGATCGACTGACCAAAGGAGCAGCAGCTGACGTCATAATAACAAACTCACTGAGTGATGAAGTACATAAGATGTAACATCAAGAAACTACAAGGAACAAGAAACTACAACTACAAGAGACTACAAATTATTGAGTGCTAAATTATGTAAACACTAATCTAATTTGAAAGCTGATGATGTAAATGGTTCACTGTGTAATTAGTTTCAGATTTTTGTGTTTCTCCAAACAGCTTTTATAGATTTCAAATCCCTTGATTCATGCATAGATATCATACCGTTTATCATACTACAGTGCAATACAGTGTTGGTGACGGTGATGCACTTAGGGCAGTGTGTTGCTCTGTCTGTTAATGTCTTTCATTACTGTATTGATCTTAAGCCACACTCCACTTACTAAATTGCATTACAGGTGAATTACTTTTGTTCTATTGAATCAATATGAACTAAAATAAATGGAGGGAGCTAAGCAATATTAAGTCTGTGTGTGTTTGTGTGTGGCCACTGTAATAGTCAAGGACAGGTCAAAATGTTGTGGAAACATTAATCTGACCTGATATTACCAAAAGCATAAGCCTGCACCTTCTTTTTCATGGCTACTTCTGCACAGGGGGAGCCATGGTTGAGGTCAGCACTGGGCAAACAGTATAATGTTATTTATACTGTAGATACAGTTGTGTATTGTTTACACAACAATAATATCACACATTTGTATTATAGAGTCACAAAAAATATAAGGACTTAAAGCTGGTTGTGGGACACCACAGTTGATATATGCAGATGAGGAGATGGAGGTGGTTTAGTTAATAACAACTTTAAGAGCAATTATATCAGAAGTGATAAGTCTGAAAGTTAGGCCAAAATTTTAAAATGATTTGGACAAGACTGCCTTCTTTGGGAAAACCACAGGAAATGAAAAATCATGATTTGTTTTAGTAGTATCTTACCAGCCACAGTCACCCTGGCAGTCCGGCTCACAATGCTCCCCAGTCCATCCAGAGTGGCAAGACATTGGTATTCTCCCTCGTCAGGTCGGTGATGCCGGGAATGCATTACGTTCTGCACCAGCAGCGACCCATTAGTCAGTTGCTGCCTCCGCTCATCTACCACAGCATTTAGCAGCACACCATCCTTACGCCACGTGATGGTGGTAGGTCCTGCCAATGGGTCGGACTGTGCCTGGCAGTCGAGCTGCAGCATGCCCCCTCGCACTGTCACTGTGTCCTGGGGCTCTTGGGTGAACGTAAAGTCCACAAAACCTCCAACACTGGCTGAGGAGGAGGAGGAGGCTAAAGAGGCATCTGAGGCTGGAGGAGGAAGAGAGATAAGGAGAAGTTAGAAACATTAGCTGACCAACAGGACAGTGATTTATTGATGCAAAAATTATCCATCACATAAACTGACAACAGCGCTGTAAACCAAACAGGCGTGGTTCATAACAGGGATAAAATGGAATAGGATATCCAGTGGGGGAGGTGTCATATTCAATACAAGACACAATAAATCAAAATAAATGTATATCAGTAAGTCTGGAGGTAAAGAAACCTTTCATAATGCCAGACAAACAAAAAATCACTGGGCACTGGGCTACACAAGCAACTGGCACAGGGCCCAAGACCCTTAAGGCCCCCGCAGGCCCCATATTCTTTCTGGGTCAGCAACCTGATTAATTGCAAATTTGTTTGGGAATATCCACCATCATTTTAACTGAGCTAATAAGAAGCAAAAGGTCTGTCTTGCATTATCGCCTGCTTAAATGACCACAAATGGAGGATCGGTGTGTGCTACTTTTTGCCCCAGAGCTCTCTGGTAGGTTAATCTGGCCATGTCTGTACTGGTAGTGGAATATGAATATGTCGTCACTCATAACAAATTCGCCTTACTGACTCGTGTCTCAGTGACAGTGTAATATTCCACCTATATCAATCAATTCTGCAAGAACCAAACAAATGTCAACCCCACCTGTTTTTTCAGAATGACTCATTAAATGAGGCCAATTTACACCCTTTGGCCACTTGTCTGAGAAGAAAATAAGGGAACTGCATGGATGTGATTTATATAGCATACTGCTCAGGCAATGCATGCTGAATAAACATATAACCACATGAAACCTCAGCCTGAATTTGGCTATGGCTGGATTTCACCTGGTGACCTTTCATCCTATGGTACACTGCTGAGGTAACGGAAAAAAGTCTCTAATCATAATTATAAGGAGCAGCCATCTCTCATCCACTGATACAAATTCAGGTTTTCACCCACGCAACATGTTGTTGCATGCTACATATTGACAAAACCTGTAACAAATTCAAAGGCAGAAATTAAAACAAGTTTTAAACATTTTAAAAATGTAAAAGTTCTCATTTATACACAATCACTGCTAATTTAATCACAATAATGATTCTTTTACTGTTCTTTACTCCACACTGTGGCACTGCAGAAAGTCATTAGTCTCTTTTATGTTTGCTGAAAAGAATGAGGTTTGAATGAATTTAGCCAGAGGTACTTAATGTAATGTAATGTAGTTAACTGGGTTTGCTACTTCTATTTGTTGTTGACATTTCTTCAGATTGTCTCGTGTGAAACAGCTAGTCAGTTTTAAGGACTAGAATTCTTATTTTCTCATGCTTTTATCTATATAGTGCATTCATTTGTTCATGTTTTGGTGTTGTATGTTTTGACATTTTCACACACATTTATCATTGGTTTGGTCAGGTGTGTCGCTTTAGAATAGAGGACTCCAACCTATAGTGCTGCCCTCTTCCAGATAACCCTTCATAGCTATCTAAGCCATATCAACCTGTTGTATTGTTTTTATGTTTTTGAATTTTGTTTAATCTTGCAAAAGACTCTGACAGTGGCAGGTGGTGATGTCATCTGTTGTCAGTGAGGTTGAAACTGTTAAAAAGTCCATCCATCCATCCATTATCTATACTGCTTATTCCTGAATAGGGAATATGGAGCCTATCCCAGCTGACACTGGGAGAGAGGCAGGGTCTACCCTGAACAGTTCACCAGTCTATCACAGGGCTGACACTTAGTGACAGACAACCACATTCACTCCTATTGGCAATTAAGAGCTGCCAGTCAACCCAAGCCTCGTGTTTTTCGACTATGGGAGGAAGCTGGAGTACCTGAAGAAAACCCATACAGGCACAGGGGGAACATGCAAACTCCACACAGAAAGGCACCGGGTCAGCCGAGGACTGAACCCTGAACCTAACCCCAGCACTAACCACCACAGATATACAACATTTCCTCATTATGTTAGTTGAAAGTGTAATCCAGTCGATATTACAGTTGCTTCAAAATATATTAGTTGTTACTGTTCCACAGGCATATACTGTAAGTACTGACGTATACTTCCATATATCTCAGAGTTTTTATGTGTAGTATCCAGTTGTCTTTGCGTGTTTTTGTTGGCCTAAATTTTATGCAAGCATATTACTTCTTATTTACTCCACAGAGATCCTCCCGTGCCCTGACTGTTATAATTTTACCCAACAGAACAGAATAACAAAATAATTATGACATCACATAACAACCCACTTCCTTGTTTCAGCACAGTTACGTTCACATCTCCCACAGACCATACTTGAGTAAACATGAATCATGCTTGAAACCACCTCTTTAAGGCGACTTGGGCACAGTTCCTGAGTCCAGTATGCTTGTGTTCACACTGATCAAAATGAACCGGACTTTGGGGTCAAGTGTACTTGGATCTGAGCCTGGGTCCCTAATGTTAAACCACCCTTGGTTTTACTGTCCACCCTTCACACCTTCTTTCCTTCCTCTCGCTTCTCCATTCTCTCTTTCTTTCCCTTCACAATTTCCTTTTTATTGATTCTCCTTCAGTAGTCCTCCCCCTCTTTCTCTATCAGTAAATCACGATCTTGACAGCTCTATCTGTACTCACTCCCACTGGTCTCACACACACACACACACACACACACAGTACATACATCAGTGTGTCCTTGTCCTCATTGTCCTGCAGTTTGATGCTATCAATCTCTGTCTGCTCTCCCCGGGTCTACTCTCTTCTTCTCTCTTTCAACCTCAGTCACGTCTTCATATTTCATCTGTAACATGAAGCTGGTCTTTACTACCATATCCATGAATACATTTTTTATTTATTAAGTCAATCCATAGTGTAATTCAAAATAATTACGTCTAAGAAGTCTGCTCGAAGGTATGGTGTATTTTGATACTGATTCTTTGAAATATACATCTAGTGTTTACTTAGTACACTTGTAAATAATTAATTCAACCTACACTGTAGACAAATTAATCAGAGCACCTTAATATTTTTTATCAATTTAAAATGTGCAATTGTTTCTTTCAAGAAACATCAGAAGAAGATGACTCATTAGCAAAACAACAAATTGGTGCTGAACAAATATTTAAAGTTCCTTTTGTCTCATTTTAAGTCACAAATTATAATTCTGACTATAACTATCACAAAAAAAAAACATAAAAACATCAAAAGTCTAATTTGACTGGGCAGTAAGAATTCTGTATTCAAGCTGGATCAGGTCTGACCTGATGAAAACTTTGTAAATGTGAAAAAAATTTGTGGTTTGGAATGAGTGTTTAGTATTACTTTATTTTTAAATAGACATCCACCTAGATGATCTGCATATGATTGCACTCCTTCAAAGAAACAAACAAAAAGTGGCAGATTAACCAAGAGTGAAAAAAGTAGTCGCACCTCTAGAGAATTCAATGCTTACTTCCAATCTCAGTGATTCTTCTCATCACTGATTTCAGATCATTTTTCTACACTCACCTCACAAAATCTGAGAAAGTGGTGCCTCAAAACCTTTGCTTTGGCAGAACAGAATCAAACCCAGAGGACAAAGAAACAGCAGATCATTTTCACAGATCAACTTAAATAAAGAACCAGACAATGAAGAATGAATTTGTGAAATTAAAGAAATCCAAACCATTTAAACTCTTAAATCCAGCTAACAGTAGAAGTTTCCAGGATTTGTAGAGTGTTTCTAATGGGCCGAAAAAACTTGATCACAGTGTAAACAGACCTGTGGAAAATCTAGCCAAACCTGGCATGCAGTACATAAACAAATGAACAAATAAGAAAGCAGGACCTAAACAGAACCTAACCATAGCCAGACTGTGATTTGAACAGACCCTGACACAGAGGGAACACCATCACAACCAGCTCCACTATGTTCCACCAATTAGCAGTTGAAAAGAGCAACTATAGTATGCACCTTTCAAATTAACAGAACCCTACAACACTTGATCTCACTAAAAATACAATACAGACCTGGTCCAATTTGGGCCCAAGTTCAGATCTTAGTTACTAGGAGCCAAGTGGCCCCATGAAGAATTCCATAGCAGAAACTCTGCTAGTCAGAAACTGGCTGCAACCTCAAGTGGACCCCACACAGGTACACTGAGGCCCATTTTATAATGGAGGGAGAGAGGCAGAAGGATATAGAACCATCCAGGGGTTTAGCTGATAAGAGGAGAGTTGGTGACAGTGAGTTGGACCACAGCCAAGACCATCTGAAAAGCACACAGACACATACATTCACACTGGCTGACACCACAGAGAGCACTGCATTAAGAATCTGGGCAGCATCCAAAAACTGTGTGTGTGTGTGTGTTTAAGCTCTGTGCCAGCTGCTGTCAGACAGCAGAGGAACATCTTGACTGATAGGAGGAAACGGGAATGTAGAGAAACCATAAAGAAAAAAACTAAATTTAAATTAGTGAAATCCTCAGTCTGTTACAGAGGCACCATCAAAATCAGCAATATATCGGGAAATTAGCTACTGACAAGT